CACAAAAGCAAATTACTGGCTTCTTCTGAGCCCTGAGACCCTAATTTCTAGGAGCATGACCTGGTAATCTCAGCTTTAATAAACTCCCCAGGTGGCTCATGTGTACAGTAACATTTTAGAAGTCCTACCCTAGCTTTAGCCTGTCAACAGTGACAACATGAAAATTACCTCGGAATAGTTTTCTATCACTGTGATAAATTAGTAGCTACACTACCCTAACTTATGGGTAATGTAGCTATTTTTAAACATAAAAGTTATAGAAGTAAATACAGTAATGGAAGGATTTCAACTGGTTGGAGTTGAATGAGATGTAGGAAAAGTTGAAAGAATTTTAAAAATACTTTGTACCTAATCATTCATTTTTAATGCTTTTTAAATCTAAATCAGTTGCTCTTAACTTTGGCTTCAGGTCAGCATTTTAAAATGCTGCCATTAGGCCATACTCTAGAAAGATGAATTCATAATCCCCAAGGATGGGACTTAAACATCAGTATTGGAACTATGACCAGCCCATGAGTATGAAATGGCTGGATAAAGGCCATAGAGAAAATTACTGTCAAGACTATAGAGGCAAAGCTCATTACTGAGATGATACCAGATCTGAAAATAACACAAAAGAAGACAAAAATCCATTGAACTGGAGATCCTTGTCTGTCTCCCTTACTATCATCCCTGCCACCATCTCTAGAATATCTCTTTGCTTGCATGTGACCTTTCAAATCTCATTTTCCTGAGACTCTTAATGTAGATTTCATAGCTCATTAATACATCAATTTCCTAAGGCCATAATCACATTAGACAAATTTATGTTTTTTATAATTTATTGTACCCTCATCTAATTAGATTCATATCACAGAAATACACAATTGACCCTTGAACAACACAGGGGTTAGAGGTGCTGACCACACAGGTGAAAATCTGCCTGTAACTTTGGACTCCCCACAGCCTTAACTACTAATAGCTTACTGTCAACCAGAAGACTTACTGGTAATATAAACAGTCAATTAGCATATATTTT